ATAAAAATGAAATGAGAGAGCTTCCAGGTGATGAACGCATCCACGTACTAGGAGGGTGATGTGTCCCAAATCCATGGAAAAAAAGGTCCTGCACTTTCCAGACTTTTCCCTGTATCTCTTAATCTGGCTCTTCATTTGTATATTTTATAGTAACTTTTATAATAAACCAGTGATAATAACAACAACAAAAAAAACCTTGAATCATACCTACACACAAAGAAAACCAGACCTAAACATGAGAGGTACAACCAGAACATCATTAGGAGAAAATGTAGAAGAGTTTTGGGACATTAGGGTTAGAGAGGATTCTGTAAATAAGATAGGCAGGAAGCACAACCTATAAAGGGAAATGTGATGGATCTGTCTGCATTAAATTCAAAGATTTTTGTTTGACACAAGATGGCAGTAACAGGTGACAATCTGGGAACTTATTTTTTGCAGTATGTATAGTCAACAAAAGACCAATATTTAAAATTTGTAAATTATTTCTGAAAATTAACCAGAAAACCCCAAAGAAAAGTAAAAATGCATATAGAGAGGCACTTCACAAAATAAGAAACCAAAATGATTCATAAGCACATTAAGGTATTTTCAATCTTGTAAGTAATCAGATAATGCAAATTTAAGCAATAATTACATACTACTTTAGCCCCTCAGATTTGCAGAAAATTAAAAAGTTGTATATTAATTGTTGATAAGGATTTAGAAAAACATGAAGAGCTGATGGGAGTATAAACTTTAGATGTTTGGGATATTTTGGAAGTATTTAATCACAAGTATACAAAAAATATATCCCCCTCCCACCACAGAAAAACAACCCAAAATCAAAATCACCTCAACACACACAAGAATATTGACAGGAGCACTGCGCTTAAAGCAAATGCTTAGAAACATAGAGGGCACTCAGTCTGATAATTTAATTGAACTGAAGTTCAGAAAGGTGACAGACGCTTTCTGCCTTATGTGGTAAATCTCTTTGAGGACAAGAACCATAGTTTACTTATCCTTGTATCCCTGAGCACATGGCTTGATCATAGATAGTCTGTAGCTGTTAAATTGAATTAGTGAAATAGAAGTTTTAGGGAGTTGCAGAGCCCATGGACTATTTAAGAAAAATGTAGTAACATCGCACATGCAGTCCATGGTTACAGTCACACAATTTATAGTTAGCGAACAGGTGTTAGAAGTCGGTCGCATATGCTTTCGTCCTATACTCTCTAACATGTCATTTTCTCTTTGTAGGTGTCTGGTATGACATTCCATGGAAGAAATAGGGCACATTTGAACTTTTTCTAAAGATGATTCTTTGAAAAGTGTTGGGGAGTTAGAAGTTCTGTTTATCCTGGCTTTAAAAGTATGATGTTAGGAAATGATTTTTCTAAGCTATTAACAAGTTTAAATGAGAGTTTTGTATTCTCAAATTTCAGTCATTCATGTATCAGCTATCTAATTTTTTCCATGTCCACGTATCATTATGTTTTAATTCATGTTTTTCTTTCAATCAGTTTGCTTTTTTGTTAAAAAATTAGTTTTGTCCTAAGTAAAAATATTGTGGTTAAGTTTTACAACATATAATTTACACCCATGAAAATAAAACTATGTAGCATATAAAATTATTTTTATAGTTGTGTACTTCATAAGTCTGTATTAAAAGAACTCTGAGTTCCCTCCCAGATGAACATTCTGTCATTCTAGTTTAGTTTCTTTCCTTCAGCACTTTAGCGATTCACTACAGAACGTTAAATCAGTGCCATAACAAAGTTAACTATACAATTGTAACCAAAGAAATTATTTCACAATATCTGTATCATGATATTCTATTTAAAATAAAAATGGACACATTGAAATTTATAAATTCAGCACAAACTGCTATTAGACAGGAATACATAAAATATTTACAGGGTATTAAAAGCAAGTGATACGGTATATGGTGCGATGAGGGTAACTTATTTTAACAGTTTGATGAATAGGGAGAAGGAAGAATTCTTCCTGTAATACTGCTTTTTAGGCATTAAAATCTCATTAAATATTAATCACAGTAGTTTGACAACTACATCAAACTAGTTGCAAAAGGTAGTAACTCTGACAAAACAATCAAGTTGGGGTTAATGGTAAAGTGCCTAGAATTAAGTAATTCAATGTTTTGTAAATCAGATTTAAAAATTAGGAAGTGCAGCCCTGGCTGGCACAGCTCAGTGGATTGAGCGCAGGCTGTGAACCAAAGTGTCGCAGGTTCGATTCCCAGCCAGGGTACATGCCTGGGTTGCAGGCCATAACCCCCAGCAACTGCACATTGATGTTTCTCTTTCTCTATCTCCCTCCCTTCTCTCTAAAAATGGAATAATAAAATCCTAAAAAAAAAATTAGGAAGTGTTAACCTGTTGAAAAGTTTATGTACGATGAGGTCTGTCCAGAAAAAGTTGAGCCATTGTTAATATAAGGAGAATGGTTTATGCAACATTGATGTAACCTGGCAGTCAAGGAGAGTGGACTGAAATGCAAATGCATGAACAATGACAACTTCACTGTACTAGTCAAAGAGGGCAGTAGACACCCTTGAGTGAGCATGTGTACTGTGTGGCTGCTGCATTCAAAATGACTGAGTAGAGCAACAAATCTGCATGAAATTTTGCATTAAGTTTGAACATTTCTCTGCAGAAATTTTTTGGATGATTCAGGCTTTTGGGGACAATGCAATGACTGCAGCACAAATAAAATTGTGGCACAAATGCTTCAAAAATGGTCAAGAATCTGTTGAAAGTGATCCACACATTCTGGAAGGCCTGATAGAAGTAGAATACCTGAGAATGTTGAATGTGTAAGGGCTGCAATCAACAAAGATTGAAGCACTGTGGGAGGTGCCAAGTTGCCTACTTTGAAGGGGACTGAGGCGTCATTGTTCTATGTACAATGTTTCTTGTATCTTGCATCTTCTTCAATAAATGTCTCTATTTTTCATAGTACTATGGCTGGATACTTCCTGGACAGAAAAAAAAAATACCACGCTGCTAAGAATTTAGCACACACCTAACAACTTGCTATAGGCCCAGTGAAACTGAGGAACTAATAAATATGTGATGACATACTTTGAGAGAAATTGAAAAAAGGTGATTTAAAATGGTAAAACGGACAAATTTACAAGAGAAAGATGCTTTTGAGTAGTGCACAATCACTTTGAAATTTTGGTATACAAGGTTAATGTTTTGGAATTTCCAACTCTTTGCAAGATTACGATAAAAACAGCAAGGAAGAAAATGACCCATCACTAATGCTCACTGCCAAGAATTCTATTGTAATATTAATAAACAACACTCTGTTGTTTTCTCATACCTGAATTGTGGTTCAAGTCAGAGTACAGCAGAAATGCCTCTTATTGAGGAAAACCCCAAAACAGAAAAATTTCCTTTAAAGTAGGTAAATTTTTCCAAAGAAGTTCATTGAGCTAAAAATATAGACCAGTTACCTCAGTAATTTCATCAGTCACAGACTTATTTGAAAGCTAAATGAAACCCAAAAGGTTTTGTAGGGACAAGCAGTCAGTGGGATGTCACTTCAAGCTGCAGATTCATCAAAATTATAAAATTGTTTCTAAAACTTGAACTTCTTTTTAGTTTCATCACTCTCTTACTAACACTTATCAAACGTAAAGCAATAAAGGACAGAATTTTAAACAACCATCCAGGCATTACTTATTTAAGGTTTGTTTTCTCAAATTCCTGGCTGGATGTGTATCAGAAAAGTTACCAAGAAAAATTACCAAGAAGGCAGCAGAATGGCTAGGTTAAGTGGTTATGAAAAATACCCCAAGGACAAAGCTTAGGCTTTTTTAATGTAACACAGTGTAATGGAACATTACTAGACTGGACGCCAAATAACTTGGATTCACTCCTGTCTGCTATAATGGTTTTGTGACCTTGCCCGATTAACCATCTTTCTATTTCTACAAAAAACTTGGAAAACTTAGAGGGTTTAGATGAGATGGTTTCTAAAGTTTCTTTCTAATTTAAACAATCATAATTTTAAGTCTTCTCAGAAACATGGGTACCAGATAGCCCTAGCTGGAAAGTTACAGTCAGATGGAATGGCAGGTTCTGGGAAAACAGGCATGCACATGTGACTAAATAGTAAAGATGCAAATGACTGATTTTGAAAGTATTTTTTTGCTGACAACTTTCTCAAAACAGACTAAATTCCCATGGTTTTTGAAGCAGGAAAAATCATAGGTCATAAATTTTTTCCAACCGTATCAATATTCCAAACAATATTATTAGCTGCAGTTTATTAAACTTGAAGCCAGTAATAAACAAAATTCTATCTTCTTGATACTGCTTTTTAAGAAGCAGCTTTTGCACTGTGGTGTTTGTGTCTCTCCCTCCTTCCTCCCAATTCATGTTGAAGTCCTAGGCCCCAGTACCCCAAAATATGACCCAATTTTGGGATATGGTCTTTACCAAGTGAAAATGAGGTCCTTAGGGTTAGCCTTAATATAACCTGACTGACGTCCTTATAAAAAGGAGAAATTTGGAGACAGACTTGCATACAGGGGAAACACCTTCTGAACATGAAGACGGCCATCTACAAGCCAGGGAGGGAGGCTCAAAACAGATCCTTTCCTCACAGCCCTCGGAAGGAACAAACGATGCCAACTTTTTGATTTTGAACTTCTAGCCTCTACAACTGTGAGACAATAAATTTCTGTTGTTTAAGCCACTCAGCTGTGGTAACTTTTTCTGCCAACCACAATATAGGGAAACCAATATAGGAGCTAAGATTATTTACCATTACCAAAAGTAATTTGTACATTATTATGCCAGCAATGTCTTATCTCCTAGATCTTCCTAATTCTATATTAATACTTCAGTGGGTTTTCTCAGTCAATAAATAATTCTTCTTTAAGACTTTATTTATTTATTTATTTATTTATTAAAGAGGGGGAAGGGAGGGAGAAAGAGAGGAAGAGAGATCAATGTGCGAGAGAAACATTAATGAGTTGCCTCTCGCATACCCCCAACTGTGGATGTGGCCCACCCAGGCATGTGGCCTGACTGGGAATCAAACCTGCAACCTTTCAGTTCACAGGCCAGTGCTCAACCCACTGAGCCACACCAGCCAGGGCTCAGTCAATAAATAATTTGACATCAGAAGTTTGGACATGCATGACTTTGCAGCTGCGTAACTGAAAATGAAATGTGAACAGGTTAGGAGTTATGAAATGTTACTTCTCTATGTCTAATCCCTTACCGGTTCCCCTTCATACTCACCTTAAATTATTTAACACATACATAAGGGCTAAAAAAAAGTGAGAATTAAAAAAAACTGCCGAGAAAATTGGATCTTTTCTTCCTACTATGGCATTGGCCTTCTGGAGTTATCAAATCACTCAGATGGAGAGCCTTGGGGATAATTACTGATGGAGAATGCAAAAGAAGGGTCTGGGTTCTTATTAATGGGTATATCAGTGGATTTAACTATATATTATGTTTCATTTTAGTTTTGGTACTTCAGTACTTTAATGACTTCATACATGAAAAACTAAGCTTGTCTTGAGTTTTAAAAAGTTAATAGCACCTATGGTTATGGAAGGGAAACTAGTCTAGTATTTTCAGTACATTTGTTTCTTATTCATTCATGAAATCAGAGCACATGCACAAAATGATAGACACCAAGAGCGGTTAAAACTATGAACTACCATGCACTGAAAGTATCATATTTTGGATACAATAATATACTGAAAAATGTAACAATGCCAAGAAAACTGGACAATTAAAAATCTAACTTATTAAAGACAATTCTCATACTGTGTTTAAAATCATCCATCTTAACGTCTCCAAAAAAGCTGCATTTATTCTTTTACATTAACACTGTGGAAGTTAAGAATAATCAAGTTGTCTCGTGGACTGGAATGTGACTTAATAATTCCCTTTCATTTCCAAACCTCATCAAGCAGTCACTACATTTATGAGGCAAGTCAGCTGAATGCTTGAAGTCTAGATGAATTTTAAGATCTTCAATTTGTCCTGTTGAATATTCACAGTATTGACATAAATAAATCCCTTCAGATAAATGTGAATTTAAATGTTTGCAATATTCTAGCATACTTGAGAAGCCTTTGCCACAGTCATCACAAACATGAGGAAAAATTTTAGTATGTTCAATAGCAACATGCCTATTAACATTTGTATGAAGTCTACTCCGAAAACCACACACTTGACAGACAAAGAAGTTTTTACATTTGTCAAAGGTAATTTTGCTTAAGAGGCTGTACTGTCCATGCTCTCCATTGTTATACTTGTCACTTAACTCTATTAATTTACATGCATGTTCATTCACCACGTGGCTATGCAAGTCTTCTGGATCATTTGTTTCATGTTCACAGAACTGACACAAGTACTGTTCGTCACAGCTGTGCTCCTGGAAATGCAGGTAGAGTTCACTGCTTGAGGAGAACTGTACATCACACTGCTCGCACCAATAAAGGTGATCACTAAAATGGGTGTCTGCAATGTGCTGGCTGAGGTTCTCAAAAATTACTGTCTTGTAATCACAGTATTTACAGATGTAGGGATCCTCTTCATGCAGTTTGGCATGTTCAATCAGGAGCATGTTGGTAGAGAAACTTTCCTTACATACTCGACACACATTTGAATCGGTACGCTTATGCTTCAGAATCATATGCTGCTTTAAGTCAGAAAAATATTTGCTGTTGAACTCGCAAAGTTCACATTTATAGAGGCCACTGCTATTAGCTCTCAGTAAAGGCCATTTCTGCTGGGCAGTCACATTCAGAGCTTGGCTCTTATCAAGTATTTTGCAAAGTTTAGCTGGTGGCTCTTCATCAGTTTGGTCCTGGAGACTCTCAGAGGAATTGTTTTCTGTCTCAATATCATAATCTTCAGAAATTGCATGCACTTCCGCAGCAATTGGAACATCTTCAGCAGTGTGGACTTCTATAGGGCTCTCCTCTTGAGTTTGTTGGTTGACTGATTCAGGTGAGTCACACTCCTCATCACAAATTTCAACATCAGCAGATTTATCTGAAAAATAAAGCAAACCTATTATTACTATTATTAAGTAAGACCAGTTAAATACATAACTGGCAAAAATACTTTATGCATTATTTCTTCATTGATCTATAAAAATATGCAAATGCTACTAATTAGTTTCCCAAACCTGTAGAGAAGGCAGTGTGGTCTAGAATTCTAAGTACGGGACTGGGAACCAGATAGTTCTGATTTCTGTTTCTGGCCTTGACTCCATCTGTAAATTTTGGCAAGTCATTTGATGTCTCTGTGTCAGAATCATCATCTGTAAAGAGGAATTTAGAAAAACACATTATTTAGCCCTGGCTGGCGTAGCTCAGTGGATTGAGCGCGGGCTGCGAACCAAAGTGTCACAGGTTCGATTCCCAGTTAGGGTACATGCCTGGGTTGCAGGCCATGACCCCCAGCAACCACACATTGATGTTTCTCTCTCTCTCTCTTTCCCCCCTCTCTTCCCTCTCTAAAAATAAAGAAATAAAATCTTAGGAAAAAAAAAAAAGAAAAACATTATTTATGTCAGAGCATTAAACATTAAGTATTGTAACATAAAACACTGAATATTTTAAGTATAATTCTGAGTTCCAACAGAAACTAAGGACTTAGATTCAGCCATGAGAAGGTATTACATATCTCTTGTGGCTACATCTAAGCACACAGAAAATCTGTCCAAACAAGCAACTGTTTTTACTTCCATGCCCCATTTGGACTAGAACACACACTTTTTAATGTTACTTAGGAATTTTAAGTTTAAATTACTGAATTTGAGTAAGCCTGTATTGCCTCAGTATTTTAAAGCTAGCATGGAGAAACTGAAATACAGGTCAGTAGAGAAAAATGGGCTTCAATCTCACATCATTGTTGTTTTTAATAGACTTTATTTTCTAGAAGGTTTAAGATTTACTGAAAAAATTTGAGTAATATAGAGAATTCCCACATATTCTGCATTTTCTCCACTATGAACATCTTAGCTATATATTGTACATTTATTACAATTAATCACCAATACTAATAAGTTCTTATTTACTGAAGTCTATACTTCATCCAGATTCCCTTAGTTTTTAGCCACTGTCCTTTTTCTGTTCCAGGATCCCATATGACATTTAGCTGTCAAGGCTCTCTAGGCTGTTATCTGTGGCAGTTTCTCAGACTTTCGTTGTTTTTGATGCCTATGACAATTTTGAAGAGGACAGATTAGGTATTTTGTAGCATGTCCCACTATCAAAATTTAACTGTTGTTTTTGCATAATTCAACCGGGATTATGGGTTACTGGGAACACAACAGAGGGACAAACCACCATTTTTATCACATCTTATCAATGGTACAAATGATTAACATGATTACTGTTGATGCTGACCTTGATCGCCTTGTTGAGGTAGTATTTATCAGGTTTCTCCTCTGAAAGCCACTCGTTTACTTTCTATACTCTGTGCTTTAGAAGGCAGTCACAGTCCACACTTAACAAGTGAGGACATATATTCCACCTCCTTGAGGGAGGAGGACCTATATCAATAATTTGGAGTTCTTTTGTACAAGAGATTTGTTTCTTCTCATTTATTTACTCAATCACTTATTTACATCAGTATACATCAGTATGAACTTATGGCTATTTATTTTATACTTTGGGTTATAATTCATTTTCCCCCCTCATATTGTGTTAGCTTTGGCTACTAGGAAATTTTTTTTACTTAATTTTTTAAATTAATTTGAGAGAGAAACACTGATCTGTCATTCCACTTATTTACACATTCATTGGCTGATGCTTGCATGTGCCCTAACCAGGGATCAAACCAGCAACCTTAGCATAGTGGGACAACGCTCTAACCAACTGAGCTACCCAGCCAGGCTACTGGGAGCTCTTTTTAATTGGCTCCTGTGCTCCTTTGGCATACCTGTAATGCCTGGGTGTGTGTGCGGACGTGTATGAGTTTTGAGTACTTCCTTATTTTCTAGAACCATGAGATACTTCAGGCTTATCTTGTATATTTCCTTTCCCAGAACTAGAATCAGCCATTTCTCTGACAAGCCCTAGTTCCTTTCATTGGAGGAAGAAACCTTGGTTTCTTGGTATTAAAAACCAAGATCTAGGCACTAGATGTGATCTCTGCTACTGGGGTGTCATTTTTTTATGCCTTCTTAGCCAATGGAACAAAAAATGTTTGTGTACACTGCCACATATATATAGATACACCTATAAAAATTTCTTTGTGTAACATCTGTGTCTCTATTAAGGCAAACATGAGTTCATACTGATGTCTCTGACTCTACATGATTTTCAATAATTTATGTTTCTATGTCTGTAATAGGAGCTCAAGGGAACTGGAATTCTGACAGTTGCTGAGGAAGGGGAAAACAATCACAGTTGTTATCATTCACCCATTGCTCTAGAAAATAGAAGTCAATAGAAGATGAAAAATGGAGAAAGACCAAATCCTTCACCCTCTGTTCTTTCCTTCATTAGCCCTCCAGACCAAAATGTACAGCTGAGTGGAAGAACCATGTATACCACTATTTTTAACCTTTTACCATAAACACTCCAAACTCTGGGTCACTACTGCTTTGCCACCCATTCCTAGCCAACTAAAATAGATTTAGGCAAATGTGTTTTTTATTTATATATCTCAAATTACATTAAAAATGAAAATTCACTTATTACAAAGAAATTCTTGTTTTCTTACATTTAAACAAAGTTACTTACACATTCTGAAATCATAACTCATCCACATTTCCAAATAAGCAAGAAATTATTATAAATTTTTTTAAAAATTTCAAAAAATATTAGATATACCTTTGTTGTCAAAATATTTTAAGTCCGGTTGTCTCATAGAACAGACACTGTAACAATGATCAGAAAAAATTCCATTGAATCCATCTGCAATTCTGCTTATTCCAGAGGAATCTGAACATAAAACAAAATTTAAGAAATTCAGAGTAAACACACATACATTTAATGATGGCCATCCCTTTATCCAACATATATAAATTTTTATAATATCTGTAATAAAGTAACAGGTCCCTCAAATCTGATAGCTTTTGTATTTCAGACCTGATATTAATATTGAGCTTTATAAGAACCACAATACATACAATGTAAAATATAATACTATGAAGCACACAAAGATACATTTGTCTTACTGTCAGAATCTCACAAAATAAAAATATGCAACAAATGTGTTAACTACAAAATATACTAATACCAAGATGTTTTATGTAGTGCAGAGTAGGAAAAATGGTCTGAGGACAAGTTAGGGAACCTGAATATAGTCATTTCAAATCTTGCTTGGGTGGGGGGGCGGGCAGTAAGCAGTAAAACAGAATTTCCTTAGATAAGAAAGTATAGGCTGGGTGGGCTAACAGGTATGTCTGAGACTGTCCCAAGTACATTTATGTGAAGCATATTACAGATGGCCACAAAGACCTCTTCTTAATACTGCTAAGACAGTAGAGCTAACCTCACCAAAGGAAATTATACAATCAAAATGAAAGTTAACATTTCTGAATATATAAGATGAAGATGTTTTTCCGAATGATGCAAAATATCTTCCAACAAGGTAATAACCTTGTTGTGCTTGTTGTGCCTTAAGCACAAGCTTGTGAAATCCATAGGCAAATCTCAGTCATGCAGGGTAAGTATTCACTCTTGGATATTTAATTTTAAGTATCAATAGACCCTGAAGTTGTGATGATTAACTAATGTCTGTAAGTTCTGATCAATGCCCAGCACATGGCAGACAAAGAGTTATACTTAGAGAATTTATTTAAAATTTTCTCTTACCTAAAAGTTGACCCAGATATCAAACTCTTATCTGATCATTTCTGAGAAAATAGACTGGAATACAATTGCATGGAAATTAACCCATGGCCCAACTTTAAAACAATTCACTGACCTGAGTAACGAGAAGGGTGTAAAGTTTTCCTTTTTCTTTTTTTAGGATATTCATTCATATCTTTTCAGTCTAAGAAGAAAATGAAAAAAATTAACAAATGTCCCAAATAACTATTATTAATATTGTTATAAAAATTCCTCTAACCAAAGAATTTATTGGCAATAAGAAATGTGTGTGCCACCTGAAAATCTACTTCATAGGAGAATGTTAAAAAATGCCTATTTATATTTTGAATTTACTTTTATAATCAAGGCAGGAAACAAATTTCTGGGTTTTTTCTTTTTTTTAAAAATTTTTAAATTATATTTTATTAATTTAACAGTTATTACAGCTGTCCTGATTTTACCCCTGTGCCCTCCTCCACCCAACAACCACCACTCCCTCAGGCAATACCCTCACCATTGTTCATATCCATGGATCACACATATAAGTTCTTAGGCAACTCTATTTCCCATACTGTTCTTTACATCCCCATAGCTATTCTGTTTAACTACCTATTTGTACTTCTTAATCCCCTCACCTCTTCACCCATTCTTTTCCTCCCCCATCCCATCTGGCAAACTTCCAGTAACTAACTTCTTTTCTCTTACTTTTAAGAGTTTCTCTTTATCTTTAACTTTCAGCCTTTTAATAATAATGTGTCTTGGAGTGGGCCTCTTTTTATCCATCATAATTGGGACTGTGTTTCCTGAACTTGCATGCCTATTTCCTCCACCAAATTAGGAAAGATTTCTTTTACTATTTTTTCAGATAGATTTCCAATTTCTTGCTTTCTCTACTCTTTCTGGCATCCCATGAGGCAAATGTTGGACCTCTTAAAGTTGTCCCAGAGGCAGCTATATGATCCTCATTTTTTGGATTCTTTTCTTCTTCTTGTTCTGCATGGTTGATTTGTGCTTATGTTCCAAATCATTGATTTGACTCTAAGCTTCGTTCATTCTAACGTTTACCTATAAATTTTTATTTCAATTAGTGTATTCTTCATTTTTTATGCTGCTGAGGTCCTCACTAAATTCCTTGAGCATCCTTATAACCAGTGTTTTGAACTCTGCATCTGATAGATTGCGTATCTCCATTTCATTTAGCTCTTTTTCAGGAGTTTTGATCTGTCCTTTCATTTGGGCCATGTTTCCCTGTCTCCTTGTTTTGGCAGCCTCCCTGTGTTTGTTTCTATGAATTAGGTAGAGTTGCTTTGACTCCGTGTCTTGGTAGTATGGCCTAATGTAGTAGGTGTCCTATAGGGTCCAGTGGCACAGTCTCCCCTATCATCCAAGCTAGTTACTCTTGAGTTGTGCCCTTTGTGTTCTGAGTACACCTTCCTCTTGTAGTTGAGCCTTGGTTGCTGTTAGCGGATCAATGGGAAAGATTTACCCAGACCAGGCTGTTGCAAGGACTGCCTGTGACCGCTGACCACCAACCTCTACCCTCTGTGGATCAGCTGTGCTCCAAAGTGGTCTGTAGCTGTCCACTGAGTGCACTGGCCCTGTGGTTTCCCAGTGGGGCTGGCTAAGTTCAGCTCCCACCCATGTTTTGCCCAGAGCACCCTGTCTGAGGTATAAAGCAATCTGAAATGGCTGCTACTTGCCTGGGCTTGAAGATTCCCAGGTGAAGCCAAGCTGTGACTCTAATCTGGCTGCCACTAGGACTCACTGAAGCCAGCTGTTGCCTGTTTGCTAGGAGTAGGAGCCAAGACCAGTCATTCTTATGGAGAAGCAGCTTGGGTGGGCCTGTAAGTTGGGTGGGTTAGAGCCCCTATGGATCTCCAAGGTGGGTCAAAAAGTGTTAGCCAGGTTGATGGAACCTCAGATATGGCACCAACTTAATAGCTCTGTGCGGGGAGGGCTCAGCAAAAGAACAATGGCCTCTGCTTGCCCTGATGCCAGACACTTCAGTATTTCTCTTTCAAGCTGCCACCCCCATGCTGGAGCTCAGAGGGCATGAGTAGGTGAGTCCATGTGTGGGTTCCCCAAGAACTGCTTAGGGCTCCAGCAGCCTCCTCCACTGACTCAATCTCCACTGATTTTCACAGCCAGAAGTTGTATGGACTTATCTTCCTGGCATTGGAATCTTGGGCTGAGGGGCCTAGTATGGGTCTGGGACTCTTGCTCCTGAGATATCTCTCCCGAATTTTTATTCACATGGGTGTGGGGCCAGCCCATTCCGCACCTGTGCCCCTCCTACCGGTCTGGATGGATGTGGTTTCTTCAATTCCGTAGTTGTCAGATTTCCATTCAACTCGATATCATAGTTGTCAGACTTGCAATTCAACTCGATTTCTGACATTCCTGAGTAATGGTTGTTGTACATTTTAGTTATAATTTTGATGTGGTTGTGCAAAGAGGCAAGCCGTGTTTGCCTACATTGCCATCGTGACCAGAAGCCCGTTTTTTTGTTTTTTTATTATTATGGAGTTTGAGAACTCTTTTGCAACTGTTGATATAATTGTGAGAACTGGATAATTACAATAAACCCTATGCTTAAATTATTTTTTATAAATAATAAACTGTGCCTATGGCACCATACTAAGAATACAGATACATTTCTTACAGTTGGGAAAGTTGTGATACAGTTTTTAAGCAAAAGGTAGATATACTCCCTTAGAAAATGTATTTTCACAAGTCTTTATTGATCCCCTGGCTTTGAGGAAAAATACTCATCACACACAAGTTTAAAATATAATTTCCAAGAAAAAAATGCTTTTCTTACTTAGTGGTCACTTTCAACTTTCTACTGAGAACAAAACAGGTATGGCAACAACAACCAATGTATGATTAAATTCTCATGGACTGTTACAAAATTGACTCATTCGTTTTACCACATTCCACTTACTTTGTATAACTCTTAATATGGAAGTGACGAAAAATGAATTACAAGGAAGATTTCACAGACGGTAAAAAATTCCTGTAGGAAAAACATGACAGAAGTCAAAATGAAGTTCATTTCTGAGACTCAAGAATACAATGGTACAAAGATCTTTGATCAACTGGGAAGTTATACCGAATTCAAGTATAGTTTTTTTTAATATACTGTATTAAGTACTCAAAAACTATATATGTTGATAAATATGTGAGTATATGTAAATATGTCATATTTCTTTGAATTCATTTACCTTCTAAAGTTATATCTTAACACCAACAGGAACATAATTCTGTATTAGTTTATTTAGCCATAATGAAAGCATATATAATGAAAGCAAACACCAAATTATAGACCTTTTACCTATTTAAGTCCTTACAGACTTACCAGTGAAATAATACCACTTACTGTAACACCAATTGTGTACCAGGCTGTGCCATATCTTATTTAATCCTGTGATATGCAAACTCCACTCTACTCTCCTCAAAATCATTCTTATTTATCTCTTGTTGTTGATGTGGAAACTGAGGCATAGTCAGTAATAAGTAGTAGGGTTGGGAGTTCAATAAAGATCTAATTATTTTTAAAGCCCAGCCTTTGGAAACAAATAGGGAGATAAAGTGATCATGCCAATTCAAATACCATATTTTGCTGTGTATAAGGCACACCCAGGTTTTTGACACAAACTTTCAGAAAAAAAATCTTTTGTTTAAATTTTTTAATTCAATCAATTATTTATTTGTATCTAGAGATGTGTTTTTTGTTTTATAAAGAAATTTTAGCATTTATTTTTAACATATAATGGTACAATAAATTTGATGTAACATAATTACAAAACACAAGAACAGATACAAGGTGTTTCAGGTACTGCCCATGTATAACATGCATCCTTATTTTTCCCTCAAAAATTTGGGCAAAAATGTATGCATTATACATGGCAAAATATGGTAATATATTAGTGTTGGAATCATAATTACTTCTTCCATTTCAGATTAGTGTTCTTTGAACTACAGTAGTGGACAAATATGGAAGGTCAGAAAAAGAGGTTTTGTCTACTACCTTTATATGCTGCTTTTCTTACCAACAAGGTGATTGTGGTACATAGCAGGTAGAACTTTGCATCATTACTAAGAGCACTTCATTTCTAGTGGTAAGGAATTGAGATGCACATATTATTTTTGCTGCTTCACTAAGTTCTGGGTATATTAGCACTACTGGTGATGTGAACACCTGGTAAAGGCAGTGCTTTTTAGTTTACTAAGCACTGTCCTAACCGTTATTTTATTTGATCTTCACAATCCTGTGAGGTACATAGAGGAGCTACTATCAAACCCATCCAATATTAATGATGAGGAAACAGACTCAATAAAAGTCAAGTAAACCAAGTGGCAGAACCAGAGGAAAAAATGTATGTCTTCTGAGTCCTGGTTTTTGAACTGTGTGAGTAAATCTTCACTGCTAATCTCTGCTACCATCAAGTTACATCTTGCTTCCAGTTCTTACTCAGCCACCAATTGGGAGGAGGGGAAGGGAATCACCCAAAGAAACTGACAACCATGAGATACACAGAAATGATACTAATAAATATAATTTCTCACCTAACAAAACAAAGAATATTTCTTGAGCCTATCCCAATCAAGTCCATTCAAAAATCAAAAAAGAAAAGCTGTTTCATATTTATGTAATAAACCAGAATTTCAAGACTTATTTCTAATACTTCTTTTGTGCACTTCCAGAATTTATATAGCCAAATGCTGTTCACTTCATGTTCTAAATGCTTTACAAGTATCAGGGAGAATACTGAAAACTGGCAGCCTAGCGTGTTAAAGTAGGCACTTTTTACTTCATAATTTACTTTAAATTCTTTCTAACATGAAGAATAAGAAATAATATAAAACCAAGCATGGCGTTAACAAATCTTTAAAAATATTTTATTTATTTTCAGACAGAAGGAAAAGGAGGGAAAAAGAGGGAAAGAAGCATCAGTGTGTGGTTGGCTCTCGTACACCCCCTACTGGGGACTTGGCCCACAACCTAGGCATGTGCCCTGACTGGGAATCAAAATAGAGACCCTTTGGGTCACAAGCCAACACTCAATCCACTGAGCCACACCAGCCAGGGCAACATGGCACTGAAATTAATGTTGAAACCTGGTCTGGATTCAGACTGTCAGATGAAAGAAGTAGGATCACCTTGATCAGAAATACATTTGACTTCTACTTAGGGGCTGAACAATATCCAAGCACTTAACCAGCCCTCCTTTCAGCAATATAGTAAAATGTCCACTTAAGATTGAAAATGCTTACCATCCTTTATTTCAGCAAATGTTTTCATGTGCTTTTTGTATGCATAACTGCCCAGATGATGAAGTCTGGCTTTTACTTAGGGATGTCATACAGACATTTGCTTACTAGCACTCCTCACATGTAGAAGATTCTGAATCACATATGACTTAATCACTCACTCCCTGTTCCTCACTTAAAAGCAAACTACGGATGTACTACATGTCACTGCATAAAAAAGTAGGAAAATGGTTTATAAATTAATCAAATCACTTAGAATCTATTCACCTAGAAAAACCATTGGGGTGTATAGACTTCTAGATCTACTTCCTAAGGTACACATTTATTTACATTTTACTTTCGAAAAAATGAGATCATGCCACAACAAGCGTTAATTTTTAAAAAGCAACTTACAAAATACATATCAGCATCTTTCCACCTCTTTTTTTGACAGTAAGAATATCTAGGTACAAAACAGCCTTTACATAATAGATGGGCACCTAGATAAAATAGAACCACCTTTTTCAAAGGCCTTTCATGCAATGTAAATATAGTCTTCCTAATTGGTATAAAAATAAGACAAGCACTTACAATAAACAGCTACATTTTTATACTAAAGTTTTAAAAGCACATTCCTTCCCGCCCTCATTTAAAAATAAGTATATGTTTCCCAGATTTTAGAAGAATTTAAACCCAAATACGTTGCAGGAGAGCTTGAATCAGAATCCATTTATGTGTCCAACTTAGTGTCCATCTTTGCTTAAGTACAAATCTTTAGGTCTCTACAAAGAGATAAACTGCTTCAAATTACTCGTGCCCCTCCGTTGTATTGGAAACAAAAACAAAAACAAAGGGGTGTATAAGGCCCTAAAGCGTGGCTTAAACTAAGGGCTGGAGCCTTGAGCACCTGGACCGACGCCTGCTGGCGGCTGCTGCTTGAGGCGCGAACACTGGGATACACTGCCAAAGGGTCACTAAGCCGCCTGGCGGGGCCCTCGGGCCAGCGTGGCACAGTCGGGCATCCGGAGCCCAGATGCCGCAGGACGTGCCCAGCCCCAGCCGCCTCCACCCCAGTACCACGCACAGCCCCACCTGGGCCCGACAACTAGCGGGAACTCCCAAGCCCAGACACTAAAGGACCACAAGGGAAAAGCAGCAGGGGGCCGAGGGGAGCCTGGGTGGCTGCGTCTTCGACAAGGAGTGAAAATGCCTTAGGGATGGGGGAGGGGACCGTCATCCTGCCACAAAACGAAGGCAGCGTTGGGGTTTAACAGACGCCATCCCGTCTTTCCTGGCGCGTCCCCTTCCCCCGTTGGAAGTTAAGGCCGAACGCCTCATCCCCCAAAGCAGCCCAGCGCGGGGCCGGGCCGGGCCGGCCCGCCCCTTCCTCACACTCACCAGTATCCTGGGGCCCGCCGCGCCAGCCCACGCGCAGCCTCTCGGAGGCAGCAGCGGCGGCGGAGGCGCCGAGTGCGGGCCGAGGGGCCACGCGGGACCGCCCGCAGGCACACGGAGGCGAGCAGTGGCGCTCTGGCCCTCTCCCTCCCCGCGCTCTGCTGGGCGCGGTGACCGGCCGGCCCCTGCCCCTCCCGCGCGCTGTACACCCGGCCAGCCAGGCCCCAGGCCCAGGCTCAGTGGCCACACTCACCGCCTCGCTCCGCGCCTGCGCTGCGCACTTCAGGGGCCCGCCGGGAGGGCGGGGAGGTGACGAGGTGAGAGTGGGGCAGGGGATGGGGTAGCTGGGCCCAGCTGTACGCCCGACCTGGGAGGGACCACCGGCCTCCAGCCCCGGGGGTGACCCGGCGTCCCGCGCCCCCTACCGGTACTTGTGCGCCGCCGCAGGCCCCTCCTGCGCTGGGCACCGCCCCTCCCTAGCCGGGCGGGAGATTCCAACCCAGAATGGCTCCAGGCGAGGCCGCCGAGGGAATTACCCTGCGGGCTGCCGGCCCTCCCACCTGCCCCTGAAAAAGTGGGAGAAGCGCTTCCCGCCAGCAGCCCCTTTCCCACCTGCCTCCTTCAGCGGAGAAGCGAAAATGATCTTGCTCCGATTAGGCAGGGCACATGGCGTTTCAAACCCCTGCGAGTTGTCCTCAGCCTGCCGGGACAACAAAAAGGGCAACCCCGCGTCACGGTTTTACTGACTTTGTCAAAGAACCACACGGGGCAGGAATGCTGTCCACCGGGCAGGGGGCCGAAAACCCTTGAAGCCCGTGAGTCCTTATTGGGCTTCAGCTGGAATCCTTGATTCCAGAAATCTTGGTGGAATTAATGTGAAATTATAGGGAATGGATTAGATGATGATTTATTTTCTGACCTTAAATTTCTATGGGCAGATATAGAGAGGATTAAATTAAATAAGCACAAATAAATTTGTGGGCATGGTTTAAAAAATGAGGATATCTGTCCAAAAGTGGTCATATGGATAATCCTTTTGACGCGTTGAGGTTAGTAGTCCCTATTTACTAATTAGAAAGGTGAGTTTACGAGGGGGTAGAGAATAGGTCTCACTCGTTTTCGCAGCCGCAGCACCGGGTTTAGGTGATTCTTAAGTGGATGCGTGATACCCATGGGGATTATCACTTGCTCAAGGTCACTCGGATAGTCGGGGCAACAATCCACATCCACAGTGCTATTTCTGATTGCCACATACTTACCAGCAGCTGGAGAGTAAAAATCACAGACCTTACTCGGGAATTCCTTTAACACACTCCCAGGAGACAAAGCCACATTTGAAATACACTAGTTTTGAGGCTCACCTTTTATGACTTAATAACTTTTATGCCTATACTCAGCCTAAATAAACGAATATTTATGAATACTGGCATGGGCTGAATAAAGTGCGAAGAGATTTAGTGGCATTTTATCCTACTACCTGGCACAGAATAGGAAATCCACACGTGTTTGTTGAATTTACAAAGAGCAACATGTATTTCTCTCTCTTCTGGACTGGTTGGGCTGTTGCCCAATGGGATACAGCAGAAGCCACAAGGGGGTGTTATGGGACCATTTTAAATTACTGTTTTGCTCCTTGTAGCCTAGTGCCAAACAAAACCTTCACCTCTAGGCTGAAGTTTTATTCCAAAACATTTCGTAGTGAGAGCAAACACCCCTTGCCATTACTTAAACAAACAAATTCACACTATTTGCACTTACCCAACAAAGTAAACAACAGTAGCATCCCAATGTTTACATGTCATTTAACATAATCACAAATTAGAGGCAACTTGAGATTCTTTGATTGGCTGGGGTCCATCCAGTTCCATTTTTGCATATTCCTTGTCCTCTCCTTCCTCTTGAGGGTGGTGGCTGTGAGGATAAAGCCCTCCAATCTCAAGAGTACCAAGTTCAAGAGGTTTGTTATATTCTATTAGAATTTTAAGGGGATAATGAATCATCATTCTTTCAACTTGTGTCCACACTTTGTAGCATAGTTTAATGGAGACAATAGAAGTATATGAAGAAAAACAAACAAACAAACAAACAAAAAAGAGGTATACAAAGAACAAGAGAAAAATGTATCAATCCCACAACCCAGAGCTAACCACTGGTAACATTTTGCTCAATATGTTTTCCTTGTTTTTACAGCTGTATCTATATAGATTTTTTTTTCAAAATTAGGATATTGTTGTTTTATGTTACTTTGTAATAGCTTCTCCCCTCTCATTTCATATAGCATGAACGTTCCTTATACTCTTAAAGCTAGTGGCACCTTGGAATTCCAGTGTAAGTGACCATACAGTTAAGTAGTGGACAATTAAGTTGTTTCCATCTTTAAAAATACTCTGCTGATTTGGTAAGTAAAATATACTATTCCATTTTAACTTGTATTTCTTGTTTTTTGTGTGAACTTAAATATCTTCTCATTGGTTTATTGGCCATTGTATTTGTGTGTGTGAATTTTCAGTTTGTGTCCTTTGCCCATTTTTCTAGAGGTTGTTTATTTTTTAAAAATCTTTTTAGCATTTTATCTGAAATATATGTTGCATATGTTTCTTTCTAGTTTGTTTCCTTTTTAGTTTTGTTAGTGTTACAAACTTTTTATATTGTTGCAAAAGAAAAGCTATTAATCTTTTCCTTTACAGGTTTTATTATTGGCCTCATGCTGAAATAATCTCCTTCTACCCATTTTTTTAACTTTAACTTTTTAGTTTATCTCTAATTTATTTTGGGGTATGAGTTGAAGAGAATGCTCTCTTTCTTTCTGTCATAATCCTTTTGTTCTTATCTCCTTTCAATTGTATAACAACCTGAAATTAAAATTGTAATAATAAAATAGCTTCAACTGATGCTCAAGTAATTTTCTAGCATTGGTTTTCAAACTTTAATGGCATCAGAATCACTGGGAGGTCTGTTAAATTTAGATTTTTCTGCTCTAGAATTTCTAATTGGGTAAGTTTGGTCAGGAGCCTGAGAGGCCGCATTTCTAACAAGTTTTCAGGTGATGCTGATGCTGCTGGCCTGGGATCACACTTTGTGAACCACACTGTCCTAAGACTTTCACCAGCCAACCCCACACTAGCCAAAAAGTACTTCTTACTATTCCACAAGTAGGCTCTAGCTCTTTCTCACCCATGTGTTTTAGCATGTTTCTTCCACCTGCAATCTCGTTCCTGTGTTTCTGTAATATCACCACATAATTTATCTCTTCTAAGAAATCTTTGACTTTTCTCAAGCAAGGATCTCTGATCATTTTTCAGAGATTTCACAGTATTTGGTACATTAGTCTACCCATCACCAGAGATGAATTTACTATGAAATAATGAAGCTTAGAGTTAAAGTCCATCAACTGCATGAACCTCTTCCATGATGAGGTACTTAATTTTGTATTTGTAATTTTATAATTCTTTTATTAAGTGAGTACTTTCAATTTGTATAAGCTTCTGTTTGCGCAAAATTTGCCTCTGTCCCTACTTATTCTATTGTGTCTTCACTGACTTTGAGTTTGGCACACCTCATTCATTTTTTTTAAGAAAAATGTTGATTGTATGTCTACCTTATGTTCAGCACAGTACTAGGTACTGGGGATAGAATGTAGCAAGGTAGACATGGTCTTTACTCTGCTGAGCATTACAGTAGGCCAGACAAGACAGGCAAGTGAACAGCACTACAAGGGGATGACTAAATTGATGTAAGGTAAGGAAAGAGGGTTGTGGAAGCACATGATAAGCAGTCTAGCTCGGTTTAAGCAGGATGGGGCAGGAAAAGAGTCTAGGTGTTCAACTTGTGGAATGAACTAATAAACTATTTCCTGACTACCTAGCCTGTTCTTGGTAGCGCAGACCTGACGGTGATGTACTCCTGATTGAGAGATGAAGCAGCTGTGAGGTAACTGTGTGTGGAGGAGACAGTGCAAAAATGTGTTTTGGGTTACTTTTGTGGCAGTCTTACCAGGCCACACTGAACATCTAAGTAAATCTGTTAGAACTGCTATTTTTTGGAGTATTTGCGTGTAGCAGCTCTCAGGTCTTACACCGAGTGTTGCTATATAATCCTAACCATGAGAGCTCCTTTTGATGCTCAGGCATATCCAGTGCATTTACCGTTTCCAAACTTTGACTAGCCCCTCTTAATGCATTGCTTTGCCTGTTTTGAGCAATGGAAGTCAAAAAATGGAACTTACTGTGGACAGGAGAAAGGGGTTCTGTGGAAAGTAACCTCATAGGGTGATCTGGTCATAAATTTCAAACTGGGAAGTTTATGATGGATAGTCACACCCCAGGTATATAACCTTTTAAAAATATTTTAAAAATTGATTTTAGAGAAAGAGGGACAGAAAGAGAGAGAGAGAGCCAGAAACATCAATTTGTAGTCCCATTTATTTATGCATTTATCAGTTGATTCTTGTATGTGTCCTGACCAGGGATTGAACCCACAACTATGGTGTGTCTGTATGATATCTAACCAACTGAGCTACCCAGTCAGGGATAACTTTTTAGTAAAAGGTTTATCTTTACCTTAAGCAAGCTCTGTCTATTGTTTCTATGTATCTAGGTTAACACACCTTTGAAATAAGCCCTAACCACTCTCAAGAGAGCACATAATTTTGTTTATTGTCCTGTAGTCCAATCCCTGCTTTGAGTTTTCTTTATGAAATCTTCCTTAGTTCTCTCCATTTCAAATGCATAAAAGAAACTATTACTCTCCTGAGCATTTGAGGTCTTACTCCCCAGCATATGATGTCAGTTTGGATCAAATATACTCATAAAAATTCTTTGCAGGTTTGGACATTTCTTACATGGACATCATAATTATTTGTAATGCCTACTAATCACAATAAAAGCTAGTGGGTAGAGACTCTGTGGTGTCTTCCCCAGTAGACTATATACTTTGTGAAGATAAGAGATAGGTCTACCTTGTTAACTGCTAATCCCCAAAACCTAGCACAGTGCTGACCCAGAGTAATCACCTAATATATATATATATAATATATAATATATAATATTATATATATAATATATATATATATGGAAAGATGAACTGTGTATTTAATGATGTTGGGGAATTGTTATTAACTTTCAGGTGTGGTAATGGTTGTAAAGTTATCTTTCTTAAAACTACATTTTACTGGTTATGCTATTCAGTTGTCCCATTTCCCCCACTTTATTCCCCTCTGACCTGCACATCCCCTCCCACCTGCATTCC